CATTATCTTCATCAATATCATCTCTCGGCTTTGTTTTAAACAATTGATAAGGTACAATCGACTTGTGCTCTGTTCCAGATCTTCCACCATTTACTCCAGCAACAAGGTAATTACTGCCAATGTTTACAAGCGATGCGACCTGTGTTTCCAATAATGAGACATCAATTTTTTGACCTAGACCAGACTTTTCGCGTGCATAGAGTGCCGCAAGAATAGCTCCATGAGCATACAAACCTGTTTGTAAATCAGTAATTGCGACACCAACTTTAACTGGGTTCCCATTCGTTTCACCTGTGATACTCATTAAACCCGCCTCTGCTTCAATTACTACATCATATCCAGGTCTCTTAGCGTCAGGCCCATCTGGTCCGTAACCGGAAATCGAAACATAAACCAAACGCTCATTAATCTCTCGCATTGTCTCGTAATCTAAGCCCAACGACTTCATCTTTCCAGGAACGTAATTTTCAATTAAAACATCACATTGTCTCGCCAAGTCCTTGATAATGCTTCTCCCTTGTTCTGATTTTAAATCTACTGTCACAGAATGCTTATTTCTGTTGACTGAGATAAAGTACGCAGATAATGAATGTTTATCGTCTTTACTTTTCATTGAAGGAGGATACCAAGTTCTAGTATCATCACCCACATGCGGTTGCTCGATTTTAATTACCTCGGCTCCCAAGTCTCCAAGAATTTGTGTACAATAAGGTCCAGCCAATACTCGAGTCATGTCTAATACGCGGATGCCTTTCAAAGGACCCGTTACTGCCGAAGAATAGGAACGTTTAATTATCATAAGACGCCGAGTTCTGCGAGATGAAACTATAAGGCTGGGATCTTTGTTCAAGCCACTACGCCACACAAGCCGCGCGATAGATTTTTTCAACCGAAACAGAAAGTGCAATGTCCGATTTCCACATTTACCAGCATAGACTGGAATCTTTTGAAGAAAGCAGTGACCAGAAATGGCCACATAGGGATTCATTCATGAAAGCGACTCCGGAAAGCGTAACTTGTGTATTTGTTGTTTAATTGTCTATAGATGGCAAACCTTGGACTTTTCTTTGACCCGATTGAAAAAGACCCAAACAGCGATAGAGTTACATGTTACATGTGCAAAGCTGCCATTTCTAATTGGCAACCCGAAGATAATCCTTTGGACAGACATTTAGCCGAATACAATGAGTGTCCTTTAGTTATTCTGCGCAGTGGCTTAGGTGGAGCAAGATCAATTATAAATGCTAAGAAGAAAACATTTAGTGGAGTATGGCCTATTTCTAAAGATCAAAATTATCTTGCAATGCCTCCAAAGGTTTTTAAAATGGTTTGTGTTGCTAATGTCGCGTAGTTGGCTCAAGCGGGATTCTACTATTTCCCTATGGTTGGAAAGCCAGATAACGTGAGATGCCCTGACTGTATGATGGATTTCTTTGGATGGAACCAAGAAGATGATCCGGTTAAGGTTCATATTGATGTTTGTCCCCAATGCCCTTATGTGATCCAACAGTTGATCAATGATGGAAGCACTAAATCAGTTGCTTCTATTGACGACAAAAGAAGGGAGTCTTCAGGAGAACCTGTTTTGAGACACAAGAAACTGAGAAGAACGGAAGATCGTGCAAGTATGCCTGCTTTGACCTCTCAGAAGAAAAGCAACGGAGATGATGCTGAGAAGTCTTCTTCGAAAGTCGCAAAAGCTGCTTCTAGAGAAAAAATCAAAGAGAAGAAAGAGAAGGATGTTGCGCCTGTTCTTTCTCAAACTGCGTCTAGTTTTGTGAAGAGCTTAGGCAAAGCAGCAGAGAATGGTGACATCGATATTTCTGAGGTGCTGAACCCTGTTATCGAGAGCATACACGACTTTTCAAACAATCTAGAAAAGGAGCTTAGAGAGGTTCTAGGAGAGGCAAAAACAGTTGAAGCCCTTAATGCCAAGAAAAAGAGCCTTTTAGCCACTAATGATGTGATACTAAAAGATAAGGAAATCGCATTACTAAAAAAGCAAGTTGCAACTCTTCAATCTAAAGCAGACAGAATGTAATTTAATTTTTTATAGCTCTAATTATCTTAGGGATGATGCTGAGAGAAAGCTAGAAGAAAAGCTTGAAGAGCTAGAAGAAGTAAAGCAAAATTTAGCTACATACAAGGAGGAAGCAAGAACTCTAAAAACCGCTTTGAGTTCCGCCACTAGAAAGGATCCTCTGTTGTTGAGAAATTCATTAATCAGTTCCTGCCCTCCGGTGTTGCGCAGAAGTTTTTACATTGGGGAGTACGCAATTTTCCAGGCTAGAACTGGTGTATCCAGCTTGGATGAAAATTTAAATCTTGATCTTTCCAAGCAAGATGTATCGTTCCTCACAATGAGCGACATTCCTTGGCCTGTTTCACCAACTGCGTTGTCTAGTGATCAAATAACAGATGCCATGGTTAATTCGTTCTTGTTTGCCGAGACAAGTAACGAAGCTGGTCGCGAGTTATGTGAAATGTTGTTGTCCCTGTTTGAAGAATCTAATGTCCAGGAATGGATTCGTTTTGTTACTGATAAAGACCGTGAAGTTGTATTGAAGAAAGCTGCTGAAGTTCGTGCAGTTATGAGTGAAATTTCCGCGCAATTCACTATTGCGTAAACCCGATTTGTTCTTGTTAATAGAAACGCTTGTTTCAACTTTTTGATGAACAACTACGAAGAGCTTGAGATCATTGGCAAAGGCAGTTTTGGTTTAATTCGAAAAGTAAAACGAAAGCAGGATGGCAAAGTCCTCGTAAGGAAAGAGATATCGTACAAGACCATGTCTACTGCTCAAAAGAAGCAGCTTGTTACTGAAGTTAATCTTCTGCGGGAACTGAAACATCCGAACATTGTTAGATACTACGAGAGAATCGTCGACAAGGAGAACTGTATCATTTATATCATTATGGAGTACTGCGAAGGCGGTGATTTGGGAAATGTTATAAAGCGATGCAAGAAGGAGGGCAAGGTTGTGAGCGAAGACGTTGTTTGGGATGTTTTGGCGCAAATTCTTATGGCCTTAGTGGCATGTCACTCTGGTGAACTGACGAAATCGGGGGTTGTATTACACAGAGATATTAAGCCTGAGAATATATTTCTGGACAGCAATCAGATGGTCAAGCTTGGTGACTTTGGTTTGTCCAGAGTGTTAAATCAGCATTCGCAGAACGATTTTGCTAGCACATATGTCGGGACTCCATTTTATATGTCTCCAGAACTTGTTAATGAAATAGCTTACGATACAAAGAGTGATATCTGGTCTTTGGGTTGCGTAGTCTATGAACTTTGTGCTTTGCAGCCGCCGTTTCAAGCAAATTCACAGCAGGCACTGTATAACAAGATATCAAGTGGTAAAGTGCTGCGTCTTCCATCTCGCTATTCGGATGATTTAGACATGCTAGTGAAGTCGATGTTGCAACTCAATCAAGACTTGAGACCATCAGCAAAAGATTTGTACGCGCATCCTAGGCTGAGACAAAGTGCCAAATCAATTGAGTATATCAGCAGAGAACGATATTTGGGCAGAAAAGAAATGGAATTAAGTGAAATGGTCGATTCTTTGAGAAAAAAAGAAGCTTGGTTGTTAGAGAGAGAACGAATGCTTGATTTGAGAGAAGCAGATTTAGGAAAAAGAGAACTCGAACTGGACCTTAAACTACGCTCAACATCATCTACTGAAAACTTGAATCCTGGGAACGGAGCAGGAACCGATGAAGACGATGAGGATTCGTTCAAGTCATTCTCCCTAATGAACTTTTCCCCGATTAGTCGAAGTGGAAACAAGCTCGACAAAACACCAAGAAGATACAGTGATACTCAAAGATCACCCATGTCCAAGAGGCAAGAGCAGAATGTTTTTAAATTTTCTCCGTCGTATTTTCCGCAATAAAATTTAAGGTCACGATTGTAAAGGTTAACAAAAAGGGCCAAGGCAATAAGCCAAGAGTTAAAAAGGTTGAATTCTATCCATTCAACCACCAAAAATGTCTTGACCGGGAATCGAACCCGGGCCTACCGCGCACTACCTGTTGGCAGGCGGCAATTCTACCACTGAACCATCAAGACTTGGTGAAAAAGAAATTTTCCATGGGATTATGAAGCGAGACTAAAGAGAAAGGGCTGCTTGAATTTGAATCGCTGCAACAGAAAGGAAAGGATCTATAATTTAAAGGGGCGCAATTTTCTTAACGTCAAGACTGCCATCGGTACTCGAGCCATGTTCTCACAAAAAACTACATAATCTGAAAATTCTTCGGGTGATTATAATAGAACTATATTGACTAGACGTGTAGATCTAACCGGCTCTCCCAGAATTAGTGCGAAGATCGGCCGCCTTTTATATTCCTCCGGCGGTATCACGATGTGACATCTATAAGATTGAATCTCCGCTCTATCCAATGATCTATTCTCCATGTGACTATCCACGTTCCAGAATCTGTACACGTGGTTTACCCCTGATTTACCGATAGATCTTCTTATCTTGAAGATAACTCTTTCAAATCAATGTCTTGGTGGTATAGGGGTTATTATTGCCGCCTTCCAAGCGGTAGACCCGGGTTCGAGTCCCGGCTAAGACATTTTTTGATTGTTCAGGTTAATAATTGCTTGTGGTGCAGATATGACCTGAATCTAATCTACTTTGCTCTTTTGACCGAGATTTCTATTTTTAAATGACATTCTCCTTTTTAAGATTATCGATCTTTTCATCGGAATAATTTAGGAACTGTTTCAGGACGCTCCGAGTGTCTTCTCCTAGTAAAGGCGGCGCTTTTCGAATTGAAGGCTTGTCGCGACTGTACTTCACGGGTATCCCAGCCATTTTAATGTTTCCGAGATCTTTGTGTTCAACTTCAACGACCATTTGTCTGTGTAATACTTGTGGATGCTCAAACGTTCTTTTGATATTGTTTAGAGGTCCACATGGTAAACCAGCATCTTTTAGAGATGACATCCATTCATCAGCAGTTCGCTTTAGCAGCTCCTTTTGAATAACTTCAACTACAAACTTCCTATTCTGAACTCTTTTTTCATTAGTTGCCATTCTTTCATCATTTAACCATTCTGGCTTATTGAGAATGTTACAAAGAATCGCAAACTGTCTGTTATTACCCGCTCCTATAACAATACCATTATCTTCATCAATATCATCTCTCGGCTTTGTTTTAAACAATTGATAAGGTACAATCGACTTGTGCTCTGTTCC